ACTTAAATATTTTTGGCACACAGTAAAAATGAGAAAATAAATAAAATTAGTTAATCAAAATAGTTAACAGCTGAAAGGGAACTGTTGAAAAATACATACCCAGTAAACGTAGAAACGTGAACTGTATTCCCAATGCTAGAGACCGCTGATTATTATTAACACACCTGGAAATATTAAATATATATTAGATTAAAAATAAGGTTGCCTCAAATTAAAAAATTTTAGTAAGTTTAATTTTTGTATATGTTTAGCATCTTTACTTATATTAATGTAAAATGTTGTACACATGAAATGTTATTTGTAAGTACTTATATACAGTTCAGTCTTTTTAGAATTATAAAAAGAAAATGTGCAAAGTACAAATATTACAATAAAGAAGAAAAGGTTATTCACCGTTATGAACTTTAATACATGAAAAAAGAAAAAAAAGGCATTAATTAGTGCCACTTATTTTTTACTAACACCATTAACTTGGAATTCTGGTGTGGCACATAAGATAAGCATTAGGTTGCTCATTCCAAGTTCAGTGGTTCAAATCCACTAGCCATTCCTTGGAAACCCTATATAGGGTCTCTGTGATTCAGAACAGACTTAACTGCAGTTAACAAGAACTTACTGTTATTAACTTAATTTGCAAACAAACAATTCTTATTCTTTTATTAACTTCAAGAAAAAAATCATATCGACTGGGTTTGGGTACAAATTTGAGGCAATATAAAAAGATTGCTAAAATTTAATAGGATTCAACAATAATTCTTTAAATAATGACCATTAGCCAGACAAAGATGAATTAGATGTCATGTCATCACACAAGTGATGACAACCAGTCTCTGAAAACAAACAAACAGTTGTAAGATGACTTAAATAATTTTTCAAAAACTAACTTTTGAAAGTATTTCTTTGGTTTCTAAGTTCCTTCTGTCAATTTTACAAATAGTGTATCACTGCCTGTTTTTTAATAGTTTTTGAAAGAATCCCTACATTTTCCTTTTGTTGAAAAAAATACATGAAAAAATAGAGCGGATGTTAAAGAACAACAGGAAAAAAAAAAGACTGAAATATTGAGAATGGATAGAAACATCACTGAATGTCTAATTAGCTTACAGAGGGGTAGGCAGGAAGTAGTTTTTCTAAAAGTGCTACAGAAGGGTGTACTGAGGAAGAACAACTTAGCACCAAAAAGCACAAAATACTGATAATACACAATTGTAAAGTTCTTATTTACAGAAAGGTATTTCTAACACAGCACCTCATGTATAAGATAGAGAGCATATCATTCTGATTCTGACATACATGGGAAGGATGGTTAATTGTAAGTGTCTAATAAAAGCCAGGGTAACCAGGAGTCTAAATCAACTAGAATGCACTTTACAACAATGAAAGTATGGTTTCCATTGGTGTGGTGAAACACTAGATGAGTTATTGTTCTACAATGTAATGTAATCACATTCTAAAATGTAAATCTAATGTAATTAAACATTCAGTTTGCTTAGGGTATGTTCTCCTTTCAGACTGTAAGTAGATATTTTGACTAGGCTCTCTCTCTCTCTCTCTCTCTCTCTCTCTCTCTCTCTCTCACTTTGTGCTCTTTGCACCTGACTTACAGATAATGGGATGTAAGGATGTAAGTCTGCAGGAGTTTTTAGCCTATCACCTAGCCCTATGGATGTTGGGCTTGCCAGACTCATAAGCTAATTCTTATAAATCAATCTCTTTTTCTCTAGTTATAAATATACACATATATAGTTGTTAAGTGTCATAAAGTCAGTTCCAACTCCTTGTATAGGAGAGGCTAGTGAGTTTGAACCTCTGACCTTATAATTAACAAATCAGTGCTTATCCTACAGCATCACACCAGGACTTTTGCAAATATATGTAGATAGATATATACTGCACTGCATTCCTGGTGTGGAGCTGTGGGTTAATGCACCAGACTGCAAAGCCATTTGAACTGCAAGGTCGGCAGATGAAGCTCAACAGCTGCTCCTCGGAAATCCTATATAGGGTCACTGTGGGTTGGAATTGACTCAATGACACTTATCAACAACAACAACAAATATATCACACTGGTTCTGTTTCTGCAGAAAACCCTAAGACATTAAGACATTATGACCAGGAGTGGGGATATTCCAGTCATACTCAAATGCAGTTGAATAGATCTCCAACTTACAAGCTTCATAAAAGAAGAATGGCAAATAACATCAAATAAGTGTAGGTAAACAATATTCAGATACTTTCACACACATAATCTGATTTGAACATCAAACATCTGGCTATCAATAAGGTAGTTTATCTAATGTTCCAGAACTAGCAATCTTATAATAGGTATCTTGGAATTGGAACCAATGGTAAAATAAACCCCAAATGAATCTTTAGTTTCATTTTCTCTTCACTCAGCATGTTGTTATGGGGACTGCAAATCATACAGTAGAATACATACCTAAGGATGGACACAGTTACAGGAGTACCAGCCATAAAGGTAAAAATGACAGTAATGAAGAAAATTCCAAGGAACATGGGCAAGTATGCACACTGAGTTTTACATTTTCCAGCTTTAACTCCAAAACCCAAACTTTCTGCAGCAGATGTTACCTTTGCTTTCTCTTCAATACAGGAACAGTTGTTATAGATCTAGAAATATTAGGTACAAAAATACTAAAAATATAATTTTGCCATATGATGTAATGATCATTTTACTATCTATAGACTAGGAAACATTTTTCTAAAAATGTTCATTGTTTCTCAGAGTTTGTTTAATTGCCCAGTAGGAAGATAAACTTTAAATGTATGCATTATACACATGTATACAAAAGGGCTCCCAAAAGTTCACAGAAAAACTCAGTAAAAAGATAATGGAATTTTTCCATGAACTTTTTGAAGCCCCTGTGTGTCTGTATATGTATGTGTGTGTATACATGCAAAGATTTTATGTACATATACTCACTTTTGTAGAAATATTTTCTTGCAATCATTCTCGTAAACTATAATTATTTTTGTAAACTTTAATTTCCTTTTATATATGAAAATGAATTCCATTTCATTTCCCTTTATTTCAAATATTGAAGATGGTGAATTTTTATAATTAAATATTGCATATCTTATTTATTGTGATGTCTAATACTATATGATTCCCTCATGTCCTCTTAAAGTTAACAAACTCTGATAATGTGTTGAGAATTATTTACTACTAATAGTGTGAATATTATTTGGCCCTGGAATTTTTAATTAAAATAAAAGTGTCAAATGATGTAGATGTAGTATAATTAAATTCTAATGGATCCTTTTAAATAATGCAACTGCATCAAAAAGAAATATAATCTGATAAACAGATATGTATGCTAACTTAGAATTGTAAGTAAATTTGTACCTGAGAGTAAATGAATGATTTGGACATTTAAAAATCTTATTCATGGTACATAACATATTATCAACAAATATTTATTAACTTCATATCATATGTTATTGTTATATACTGAGACATTTCCAACTCATGGCCACCTTGTATAGGGTTTCTGAGGCTGTAAATCTTTATGGAAGCATAAAGTCTCATTCAATAACTAACTTCAAAATCTTTATGGAAGCATAAAGTCTCATTCAATAACTAACTTCAACTAGCTTGAAATATAGATTAGGAAAAAGAAAACAATGCAAAAAGGAAAATAATATTTCACTACAAAAAAAGAAGTGATGTTACAAAGATGTATATGAGTAACTGCCAAATGGCTTATTCAACAATAATTACATCTGGGAGATGAAGGAGTTAGCTGGAGTAGTTGTTGTTCCATCAAGTCAGTTCTGACTCATAGCTCACTCTATCAGGGTTCTGGGGCTGTAAATCTTTACGGGAGCAGAAGCTGTTTAAAGGAGGAGACACTCATAATCATACACAATCACATCACTTCACTAAACATAGGAAAGCCAGTCAATCACCTTACCTTTGGCTGTCTTTCTGAAACAGAATTTATACAACCTGCAAAGCAGGGAGAAAAATATTGAATTCCATCTCCGCAAAGAGGATAGTAATATGACCGCAAACAATTGCAATTGGCATTACAAGGAGCTGTCAAATTCCCCATTTCGCCTGTCCTATAATTAACAAAATAAATAAGAGAACATTTATTAAACATTATTACATCTTACCATTTAGTAATTTATTAATTCACTCAACCAACATTTAATTACTGAATAAAAAATGTCTGCCTTCACCATACAACTTAACTTTATGTGGAGGAAATATACTCACTGGTACTGAGTCAATTCCAACTCATGATGACCCTATATAGGGTTTCTGAGATGGTAAAACTTTATGGGAGTAAACAGCTTCATCTTTCTCTGAAAGAAAAGCTGGTGGGTTTCAATAACCTACCTTGTAGTTAGCTGCCCAATGCCTAACCCATAACATCATGGGGGATAAGGGCAGTAAAAACAATACTAACTTATATTATCATAATTAATTGAGACTGTCACAACTGTAAAGTTAGAAGTTTTGTAACAAAAATGGGGAGTACTTAATCTTACAATCCAGAAACAGAGGACAATAGGACCATCAAGGGAAAAGAACACAAGCAGAATGAGGGACCCTACCAAGAGAAGCAGTGACACTAGAGATGGAGGCAGAAATAAGGACATGGAGAGTGAGAGTAGCTGAGGACTCTGAAATCATGGAAAGAGAGGGACTGGGTGCTGGCGGCCAAGAGGCAAGCTTGCAGAATGTGCCCTTTGATTTCTTAAATAATTGTATATTCCTGAGTGGTTTTGTGTACACCTCCCCCCAAAAAAAACCAATACTAACTTAGCATAATGCTTGTGAATTACAAGAAAAATAAGGCAGGAGAAGAAAAAACAGAGTTTCTTATTTAGACCAGATAATTCTTTGTTATTTAAGAATATTATTATTGTTATTAAATGCTATCAAGTCAGTTCTGACTTATAGTGGCCCTGTATAGGGTTTTTGAGGAGTGGCTGCTGAGTTTGAACTTCCAACCCTCCAGTTCAAAG